TAATACGTGAACTTGGAGTAAATTTTTCGGAATATACCTTTTCAGGCACGGTCCGAAAGTTGGTATGAATACTTGGACTGAAATCCATCGGCTACTGGGAAATAACCGCCTAGTACTCACCAATCGCCAACAGGCAGCCAGTAGTATAAAATTGTGTAATTATTTACCAACTGACAACATAGGTACTGTCTGGGATTTTAGTCAGTACCTGTTATCAAGTTGGTAAATAACCAAACAGTTGTATACTGCTGGCTGTCTCTTGGCGGTTTGTGAATATTAAGTGGTTATTACCCAGTAGCTGAGGGATTTCAGCTCCAATATTCATATTAATTTTTGGACCGTGCCTGAAAAGGTCTGTTACGAAGAATGTACTCCGAGTTCACGCATTAATTTCCTCGGAAATTAAACAAGGCATGGTGAAACTGGAGTTAATATATCAGAAAACACACGGGGAAGGCTGGGGACCCATCGATGAGCCGAACCACTCTCAGCTGCGTCAAGCAGCGGCACAAAGTCGGCGAAACACGCCTGTCTGGGCTTTTTGGTAGCACCTGTGTTGTCAGTATGGTGAATAAGTACACAATAGTATTTGTGAGCTTCTGGCTCAACTTTGACGACCAAAAGTCTAGAACTGCATTCTCTAAAATTTTTAAAACCGACGTCATTAATAGTAGACACTAGTAACCATGGGGCATTGCTTAAGGACAGGGGAAAAGTCACGGTGACTGTCATACTATGCGCCATAAAACATGCCATCATTTTGATTGTCCATGCAGTAAGAAATAACTAAGATCTCCTCGTAACCTAACCCGTATGTGTGCAGATTTTAGAATCGTCCTAACAGCGAACATAATCACGCTTTTTACCGACGAATAAGTATATAGATGACGACAGCTGTTCTATGACGTACGCTTTAAGCCGATTCAGTTATTTCTGCTCCTCCCATAGGAGAAAAAGTAATGCTTCGCGCGTTCACCTTTAATCCTTAAAGATTGTGCAGGAATAACCTACTGTTAGCTGGATGAACGGAAATAGACTGGCCGAGCGCCGGGATCATCTTTTTAAACTTTTCTTTGCCTTCAGACTCATACAGGAGCTCATCACACGGGGACGAGGTGGACCTGCCTGTCCTTTTAAGGGAGCTTGGTAACCACACGTCACTTTGAGAGAACACATAAAGTGAAAGGCGGAGTAGGTCGATGCGTCGGTTGAAGCAATTTCACAGAGGTACCAGGCACCAGTTAGCTCTCGATCTATCATTTCGATCACAACCGGCAGGACAACGGCTTGATAGGGCGCTTGGTAACAATCGGGAAAGGGCACCCAAAAAATACTGCTTGCCAAAGCAGCGATCTTATCGCAACTGTCTTAAGCTATCCAGCCATTGACTGAGCCGCGCACTGGCGACCGCGGTAGCTCCTGACCTCTGGAAGTAATGGTAAAAATTGATAATCCAATTGCTCAGTCAACGTCGATCGTATTGCAATTGTCCGTAGGTAAGCTACTATAGAATACTCCGCATGGGGACTACTGTGGTCGCTTGTCAGCATTGGAAGCTTGTATTAAGGTTGCTTAACGTAGGGTGGGTCTGCGGCGAACGTTTCGCAACTGTCCAAAGGGTATGGTGCCATAGATTGAGCCCCATACCTACAAATTTGGTCATTCTTCACCTAAGGAAGAATGGCCATAATGGATATGCCAAAGGGCCCGTCCACAGCGATCGTATCGCCAGTGTATGAACGTATGCTACCATAGATTAAGCCGCATATCGACTACTGCGCTCGCTCTTCAGCTGTGGAAGCTAATGTCAAGGTTGGTAAACACAGGATTGGTCTAAAGAGATCATTACCCAACTTTCCTAAGCTATGCTGTTCTAAAGTAAGCCACAAACGGACTAATGTCGTCGCTCGTGACCTAATCAAACATATGTGAGGGATGGCAAACCAGTGGTCGGTCTACAGTGATCGTTTCTCAACTCTCCTAAGGTATGCAAGGGTAGATTTAGCCACCTACTCAAATAGGTATATCATGTATTATTTCTAGGCAACGTATATTTGGGTGCCCTTTCCCGATTGTTACCGGGCGCTTTACTCAATGACCAAAGACCTCGGGTTCGACTCCCAGAGAAGAAGACTAATTTAAAAGACCGGAGGGACGGGGACGGCCATCAGTGGCTTATTAGTCATCATCTGCCGACCCCAGGTCACCATGACCTAGAGTTGTACGCTAAGGGGTCATAAGTGCGTTGCCGTGAACGCGGTCGCGTTAGGCTACTAAACGGCAAGCGGATTGTCAGTATAAACCGAAATCCGGAGCTCAGCGCCGCGTTTTGTGGCACTATTAAAATTGCTTCGTGATCGGTTCCGGAAGATACTTTTTGCTTCATCAGAGGCATTTAATGGGAGCTTTTGGGTAAGATGTGGCCATGTAACCCCACCTGATGTACACAATACTGTTAGAATGGGGTTTGGAATTATGGTTAGGGGTCAAGGATTGAGGTTCGGGGTTAGGGTAACTATTTCTCAACCACTCAAAGTACAACCGTGCATCCTCGATAGCCTTTCCTTTGGCATAAAATTACTTGACCTCTTCGCTCGTGCGTTGTCCCGTCCTACCTGTAAAACCCACCCTATTAACACCGGTTCCGTATTACAGGTGGCTGGGGTTTGTTTACTTCAGGTGGAGCTACATAGTCGTATCTGGCTAACTTTTGATGGCAGCGGGATAGTTGACAAGTTGTCGCTCATTTGGTATATGACGCAAGGTTACAGGGACTTATGGATTGGGTCAGTTGTATAATTCATAGATATTTCGGCAGATTTTGAATAATTCATATTGGCCCAGCTGTGAAAAACTCAGCACCTCAGTAGGATTCGAATCCACGACAATAAGGGGAGGCTTTAGTACAGCCAACGCTCTAACCACCCGAGCTACGAGGTCCCGCCGGACGACGCGTTTGATCGCATTTGGGTCATGTTAGCCGTCCAACCTATGCAACGTCTGTAATCCACCCAATTTGATTAGTAAGTTGACTGCCCAAGCAGGATTTCCTAAGTAATTTACGTAGAATCCAACAGATGACTACCAGGCTTCACGTAATTCATAGATTTTTTGGCAGATTTTGAACTCGCGTCATTCGGCGGGGCCTCGTAACTCAGGTTGTTAGAGCGTTGGCTGTAATAAAGCCTTCCCCTTACTGTCGTGGGTTCGAATCCCATCGAGGCGCCGAGTTTTTCGCAGTTAGTTCAATGTGAATCAGTTGCATATGTTAGTTTTTTAGCTCAAGAAACCGCATGAAGGTCTGGCATCGAGCTCCTACTAGTTTTCACATTTTACTACAAACTTGGAGCGAAAGATGAGAGGGCTTTCGCGAAAGATAACGCAGAGAGGACAGGGGAAGGGAGAGCGGACAGTATGGCGCCAGTCTGGTCTCTGACGAGATTGCCAGTTTCATGCACATGCTTCTGTCTCTGCCAGCAATGAAATGCGAGTCATGATTCGACTATCGAATCCCATTAAGACTGACATATGACTGGTCCCACATAGGCCTTGGTATCCTGACGTGTATCTCTGCAGGAAATGCGCATGCTGTGGTTGGCTAATCCACTACGATACGGGCTTGAGTAGTTGGCCCATACCGAACTTAGGGCGAATTCGACAGGTTGAATGGTCGAACTCAGTGGAAATTCCGCGCGGATTCGTTCGCTACAAGGGGTGATGGTACCCCACGGATTCTCCTTTCTTACCTTTCTATTTATGGCGCACGCAATAAGGTACAGGGTGCCATCACAACATGTCACTTATTTAGATAAATCAGGCGACTTGTAGAGTTAAACAGACGACATTATGGGGCACACCCGATAGTTGCATGGCACATTCCACCTTCAGAAACATCAGCCCTAAAGCTGACATACCAAAGTGCACGCTGTTGCGCCAATTTATCCGCTCTACGAGCTTTCTATTGTTGTCCTAGTAAGTGAGTGACTTTGTTTTCTACCGTAGAAAAACGGAACTGACAGCGGACCCTTTACGATTGATACGGGAGTGAACGATATCTCCCAGGTGGGGCGAATTCTAACCTATCAGGGTAAAAGGTGAGCGAAGTCGTTAATAAAAAACCACCCAAGTTGCCTGCCCGACTTGAATCGATTATTATTATTATTATTATTATCATCATCGAGAGGCTTTTTAGTGCCGTTGTATTAGGATTACGAGTGACATTTGACATAAAATCTCATCCCTTGTAACCTGCAGCACAGTGGACGTCTGGTCATCTGCAGAGGCATCAATGATCAACGGGACAGGTGAGTATCATTCAGTCATGTGCATAAAGGCTATTTTTCTCAAGCCGTCATTTCACTAGTCCTAATTTTCATGCCAATTTGTTTCTGTAGTAATTTAATCTGCTTACGAATTAATTGATCAACTTGAGTTTTAAAATTCTGAATCTTTAGACGGATCTCAACTTGCACCGGGTCTGAAGCATGATTCAACCCGCTACATCTTTGCTCACGATCTCTGCCGTTCCTTCCTTTTGGAAGTTAAGGGGCCCGGAAAGTTGACGAACTCCGAAGACCTGAAGGTATAATATTGCATTTCAGGAGAAGCGCCCTCTGTTTTTCATGATAGCGCATACTATAAACACATTCTCATAGACATTGGCTCCTCTAGCAGGTATATTTTTGTGCGTTTGACATAATAGAGGAGTGCAGTTCTCTGAACACAACCACTCAAATGAAGCCCAGAAAGCATTGCATCAACGTCAAGTGGCCAATGATAACTACTTTCAAAAGCTAGTAGGCATATATTAATGCATCAAACGACGAGGACCTGGACAAACCCGAGGCGTGTTTAATGCCACGCGAAAATTGGAGAGTCACCAGCAAATACATATGACCAGATCATTCATGTGTTACCATTCTTCATTTCACGAGCAAGATGACTTGAACGGCCTTATTCGGGAACAGTCTGTAGGGACCTTCGACGGTACAGAAACTCTCTCACTTGTGAAGCATGCTTAAACAATTAGCCTGCCCAATGGCTGCATATTTTTCATCATCATCATCATCATCATCATCATCATCATCATCATCATCATCATCATCATCATCATCATCATCATCATCATCATCATCATCATCATCATCATCATCATCATCATCATCATCATCATCATCATCATCATCATCATCATCATCATCATCAGCAGCAGCAGCAGCAGCAGCAGCAGCAGCAGCAGCATCATCATCATCATCATCATCATCATCATCATCATCATCATCATCATCATCATCCTCGTCCTCACCACCACCACCACCACCACCACCACCACCACCACCACCACCACCACCATCATCATCATCATCATCATCATCCTCATCATCATCAGCACCATCCTCATCATCCACATTCTCCTCATCATCATCCATAATCCCCATCATCGTCATCATCTTCTCTATTTGGCCCATCCGCATATTGCAAAGCTATAATAGCCAATTAAAATTTGCCTTTTAAATAAAAGGTCTACTTAGTTGGTGGCACACCCCAAACAGCGCTTCCCGCCTCTCAATACCCTTACAATGAGGGCTTCTGTGCTCCAAAAACCCCCGGACCCAAGTGCCCTCCGCAGGGTCTCTTTGATCTGTCCTCCTGCAGGGCCCAAGGTGACACCAGACCGCCAATTTACAGCTCACAGCCGCGGTTCTTCGGAGCTGATCCAAGTCTGCGCGAGGATATCGAGGGCATGCTGGAGCCCACAACGGAAAACTCAGAAACGAAAGTTTACGTTGAACCAGTGCGTGCCTGCATATCTGTCAGAAGAGAGTTTTGTTTTGCCTCACTTTGCTCTACTTTTTAGCAACACCTTTCACTAAAGTATATGCATGTCTTAGCTAAAGAACTTGACTACTTTACTGCCAAGACAGAGACTGCTATTATAGCATTAGTACCTAATTTGCGGAGAGAATGCAGCGTCTAGGCAACGAGCATACTCAGGGCACCTCACTCATCAGGTCAAGCCTCTGATATCAGGATAAATTTAAAGCATTTTTTCCCCGGTATGAATTGAAAACAAGCATGCACAGCAGAATTTATTGGGGCCAACAAATTTCGTGACGGCTTTTCAACTGCAACCTGCCTCTGCATAACATAGGTAAACGAATGAAAGCGCACAGCAGTATGAATTTGTACAGAATGGCAGTGCATAGGAGCAAGGTCAAAGTTCAAAATAATCAATAATCAGATAAGACGTCCACATAAGCATCAAAAAGGAAAAAAGGGAAGACGGAATGTTAACAACAAATCACAGTCAGAGGAAAATAGAGGAGTGAGATTACCAGGGCAATTGCAGATTGATCACGTGATCTAACTGCTTGCACAGGTCTGGGCAATACCTACATTTTAAAATCTTTGCGCCAATACAATGGAAGCGTAATCTAGTACATACTCTTTTTCAAAGAGCGAGAAATATTTGCTCCAGGGAGACCATAGATACAGAAACTGCCGTATCAAAGAAGCCTTACTTAATCGTGGTTATCCTGCACGCTTCATTCAGAAGTACAGCAACCATTTGCGGCCAAATTTGACGGAACAGTCCGTTCCGAAGAAGCCCGTTATAATATGTCTACATTTTAAGGGTGACAACGTCTCAAACACAATCAAGCGACGCTTGCGTTGCACTATAGAAAGAACGTACAGCGCAGCAGAGCTTATCTTCATCAGTTCCACAAAAAGCCTTCCAATTAACCGGGCAAAGGATGCCTTGCCATTGCACGCCACCCCCAATTGTGTGTATGAATTCACATGCACTTGTGGATGCAAGTACATTGGGCGAACGCAAAGGCAATTGGCAACCAGGGCCGCTGAGCATTTGCCTAATTGGCTTTTCAAACACGAAAATAGAACCCCCCGTTCGTCTATAACGAAACACCTGTTAGATAGCGGTCATGTTGTCGACCCTAAAGCATCCTTTCGAGTACTTGTCCGTGCACGTACAACTCGAACCTTACGTTATGTGGAAGCAGCATACATACGGAGAGAGAAACCAGACCTGTGCAAGCAGTTAGATCACGTGATCAATCTGCAATTGCCCTGGTAATCTCACTCCTCTATTTTCCTCTGACTGTGATTTGTTGTTAACATTCCGTCTTCCCTTTTTTCCTTTTTGATGCTTATGTGGACGTCTTATCTGATTATTGATTATTTTGAACTTTGACCTTGCTCCTATGCACTGCCATTCTGTACAAATTCATACTGCTGTGCGCTTTCATTCGTTTACCTATGTTATGCAGAGACGGGTTGCAGTTGAAAAGCCGTCACGAAATTTGTTGGCCCCAATAAATTCTGCTGTGCATGCTTGTTTTCAATCAGGATAAAGCTAAAGGCACCAAATGGGGGGATTTCATTGTGCGTGGAACTCTCAGTTGATGTTCTCGGCCGCAGTACCCACTGGTGAGGCCAGGATGTGTGTGTTGCTCCTAAAACGAGCCACGCGGTAGAGGCGCTGGACCAACGCGGGGGTTGGATTGGGGGTCCGGCGGGCCTTATCGGGAATGCGTAACCATAACAAATGTCAACATTCGGGGGTGTGGCGGGAAGCCCGGCTGCAGACACACATCGCGCCAGTTGGTATCTGTGCCGTCCCCTATTTTTGTTGTGGTATAGAATTTTGGTCAGTATCCGTTGTGGACTAGGGGTATGGTGGTACACTCAGGTGTGGGTTTAAACCGTGCCAGCCGCCTGCACCAATTTCCGTTTCTGCTCTTGACTCTGTCTTGGCGCCGGATCCAGGTGGCGGAGGAAAGGGTGTGGTAGGTGTTGCGTAAGCCTACAATCATTATAAACAAAATCAGGCGAAAGTCATCGTCCCTGTTCTCATTCTGCTGTGGAGCACAGGGTGGACATCGTCAGCAACGACGGGCGAACCATCGTGTGCGTGTATGCAGTCAGCGTCAAGCCGTGTCCGAAAGAAGGCTAGGCAGTGCTGTCAACTGCTTTGATTGGTTTGCTGGAGCAGGTTCAAGTGTCCGTGTCCAAGTCGTGTGTGCTACTCTGGCCGAAGCGTGGCATTTTCAAGTAGGAAATAAGCAACTCTGGTCGTCTGAATCGGCCCATGTGCACCTGTTGCAGCCGGTCAGACTACAAAAACTCAAAAACTGCATGCAGCGAAAGCGAATGACTTTTGCGCACCGGCACGTCGAAAAGGACGCTAGGTATCGTATTATTGGCCGTCAGCAAGCAGGATAGCAGAAGCACAGCAAGTCTACTTTTCTTACTGATCTGTTTTTTTCGCAAGTGTAGTATGTCCGCGAGCAGGTCGAACGATGCAGATGTCGCTGTCAAACCCCTAACTCTTCCAGCATCCCAGCAGGCGTAATATCTACAGGCCTATTGCGTTCGACGTACTTGCCTTGAGTATGCTGCTGACAAAGGCCGGGGCGCTATAATGGACATTTCTGGCTTTTCTACTGTCGTCAGCTGGCCCCTCCTCCAAACACAAACCTGGGAACTCGAGGTTATAAGTTGAGATTTTTGGTCACCTAATATTTAGGAAAAAGCGCTGCCATTGACAGAACCTTCTGACGGTTGGGATTGGCAACATTAAAGTTACATGGAAGTCATACTCGCCGATCCTGGTTAGAAGATGGAGCCTTACTCTGATGCCCCAGACCAGGGTCCACACAGGCGGAGGGTATACAGCTAAACTTGGGGCAACTTTCCTTGCAAAAATAGACTTACTTTAGTTCATCTGCCCGTCTGTTTCGGCCACATGAGGGAATATGAACTGTGTTCATTACCGCACTGTCTCCAAACGAGTCCTCTGAATTTATTATAAACGCCAAACATCATTTGTATTAGTCGTTACTACCAGGGTTTGTTAAGACTTAACCCCGTATTAAATCTCTTTAAGCTAACCACCTGCGTCCTCAAAAAGTGTTTTTCTAGTGGTAACATCCCTCGTTAAGATGAAGAACACCCATGCTGGACTTTGAATTTATGCAAGGCCGATTTGCCGATTACAAAGCGATACTTTGCTTGCGTGTCCGGCTTAGTCAAATCACCCTACCTCTACAGATTGCGCGTTGATTTGAATTTTAGAAAACTGGACTGGTTCTCGAGGCCTACAAGCGCCTTCAAGTTAGCGTTTATGTGCGCCAGGCCAAAGGCATGAGGTGAGTTGTGCTTTATCAGCTGTTGTTTAAACTGAATAACAGAAATTGACCCTAAGCTAGATTAGTTCTGATCTTAAGGTTTTTTTCAAGATAAGCCAAGGATTAATAGTTTGTAGACTGCCGATACTGTCGACGAAACGGTCGCGGTTTCTGAGTCCTTTGCGTTAGGCCCCCTTCTGAGAAGTTTCTAACATTTAAAACGGCGGTAGCTTTGCGTCCGCCTGGCAACAGATTACTGTACCCCACTCAAAAGAAGAAGAGGCGTTCACCGGGAGGGGTTGATTGGAGGTCCGGCGTTTCGAGTAGTTGATTCGTCTATTCATCTTCAGAGACTGGAAAGTCCTGCGCACAGCTCCCCTTATATGGCGCACTTTGTTCAATGCGTGACGCGCCAATGCCGCCTGTGTGGCTGCATCCAACCCGCATGTCACCGTGACCTGAATCGCCCCCGTCGGCCGCGGTTCCTATTCTCATGTCCTATTTAGGAGGCCATATAAGTCAGTCTTAATGTCTATTGGATTATCGAAAAAGGTCTGAGTTGTTTTGCGGTGCCATGTACGCATTAGGACGCCGGTCGCCTGACATCGACTGCGGTGTAGATTTTGCTGTGCTGCCTCCAGGCGAATGTCTCGAATGCAGAAGGTAAAAGATCAGTCAGTTTATTGATCAACACCGCGAAAGCGCAGTGGTCTGACTTGCAATGGCTCCGCCAAACCAGTAGGGATTTTACCTGACCCTCGACCAGGTTGCATTCCTTACTGCATCGATGACATCGGGCTGTTAACATCAAGCTCTGATGACTTACAAAATATACTGTAAAGGATGAATAAGGCAGCCAAGTCGGGCTTTTTACGCATCAGCACTGGGAAGACAAGTGCTTTCGAGCTGCAGGTGTGATCAGGAGAGGGTACTCCCCCGAACTTACAAACTCTCAACCTGAGAACGTCGAGGATTTCAAATGTCCTGAGAGGAGACAGTGCCAAGTGAACGGACTAGGGCAAGGTTTTTACAAGTCGCTGACGATGCCTTGTATTTATCACCATAAACGTTAGTGAATTCCGAGCCCCTATTAAGTCATTTCTTCCCGTACGATTGTGAATGCTGAGCTCTGTCCATGAAGGACGAGGTAATACTTGATGAATTTGATAATCGCTGCCTGAAATCGATCCGATTCCACGATTCTTGAGTCTCTTTGGTGGTTAATGAGTCTGGACGGCATGCCGGTAATGACCATTGCCATGGTCATGACCGTCCATTGTTCCGGCCTAAAATGAATTCAGCAAAACGGCAGCGGTTTGGTCTGGCGAATGTCGCCACTCACCTTTTCTGTCTATATATATGTTGGGCAAGACTGACTTTTATGCCCCCTTATACAGGGCATGGAAATAGGAAGGTTCCGCCCAAGTAATAATTCCGGAACGGGCAAATATTTCTGTGTCTTAACCCCAACACTAACTCTAATATAAAGTTAAACCGTCGCCCTAATCTTGGCCCTAACCTTACCCTGAACCTTAACTCTGCAGTTAACACTAGCCCTCATCTTTACTATAAACTTCATCCCGAGTTACCTTAGCGCTAACTTTAAGTCTAATTTTAAAGCTAAGTCAGTTTTACCGTCTGTTGGATTCTCGAAAAAGGCCTGAGTTTTTTGGCGGTGTCGTGTGTGCATTAGGACGCCGGTCGCCTGACATCGACTGCGGTGTAGATTTTGCTGTGCTGCCTCCAGGCGAATGTCTCGAATGCAGAAGGTACAAGATCAGTCAGTTTATTGATCAACACTGCGAAAACGCATGAGTTGTCCAGTTCTCATATCACTGGTCAGGGGGGGGGGGGAACGCCGGCACCACAGCCGGCAGCCTGAAGAAGTGGACAATTTCATATATCTGGGGTAGACTTTCTACCAGATGAGCTGGGTAAAGGCGAAACCGCTAACCAAACTCATGCTGCTTGTAGAGTTTGGCAAGCCTTTGTAAATGTCTATGTGCTCACCGCGATATTCCCATCACCTGCAAACGCTGCGCCCCCACTCTGTCCTAATTCCTGTACGCTCGTGAATTACGCGTGGCGGAAAATGCAGGTGCTTAAACACCTCAGCTTGAGAATCATCCCGCCACTGACTTTGTCTTGAATCGAAATGCCAACAAATCGCTGTGACAACATGGTGAGGACATCATAGGTAATCCAAGGATGACGTTTGGACACGCACCCTTCGTAGGTGGCCTCGTGAGTTCAATGTCGCTGCCAAACTGGACACGGTTAGTTCTAAGCCAAACTCGAGACAGCCATCTGGACATGGAGGGGACCCCTGGGCATTCGATATAATGCATTCGCTGTGCTCTGCAGATGTGATGTTGCAGATCGTCAGGCGTAGAGAGCTGCATTTACACGACATGACTGAGATCAGTTACCTGTTGCGTGATTTCAGTTCTACCAATAAAGAGGCGAAGTAGTAGTTTTTTTTAATAAAAGTAAGTAAACAAGAATACGAAAACTTTGTTGCATACATCTTACGCGTACGTGTGTATCCAGCAGAAAGTTGGACACGTAGGTAGTTTGAATATGCATGTGTCCCGACCGCTTACCTCTCCTCTGACCTTAAATTTGCAGTGACGCCTTCAAGAATTTCACCAAGCCAGTCTTCTTCCCTCTGGCATGGTTCGAAGAAGTAAGTCCGAAGTTATAAAAATTGATTAAAATTACTGCATCGTTTTCACCTGGTCCCCTTCTTAATGCATGAATAATTTCATCTGTGTCTCCTCTGTACGAGCTAGCACATATCGCTATACGAACATACGCCAGCCTTTTTGTCATCCATTAATCTAAGTAATTAAGACCGGAAACTCTAACACCCTAAGGTTAAACCGGTGTTCACTCGACCCAAGTGTGAAAAACTCGGAGGCCTCGGTCGGAATCGGACCCATAACAGCGGTTAATTTGGCCCAAATGTAGTTAACCTCACGGCTCCCGATCGGGACCTCGGGGTTCACGTGGTTAGAGTTTTGGCTGTACTCAAACCCTGCCTTTGCTCTCGTGGGTTCGAATCCTACCGAGGCCGACGAGTTTACTACAGTCGGATCAAATGAATTATTCATATCTGTAAAAAATGGCTGACTATCGACGAGAGAATTACGACCCCCGAAAGCTAAGAAATACTCACTTTTTCCCCACAACGTCGTTGCAAAAAGATGCGATTATTGCAGAATGGTATTACCGACAAAGACAAGGGAGACTGGAATGGCCATTTCTGGCTTATTAGCCGTCGTCAGCCGGTCACATCCGACCCCGAAGTGTGAAACACCAGAGGCTCGAACTCGCGACCTGCTCGTTAGAAGTCCGCGCCGCTAACCACTGGGCCACGAGCACGTTGTCTTTTCGGTTTTCGATCGGGAATATACAGTAGTAGAGGGACGCCCACCGGAACGTTCTTTACGAAACTCACTCGTTCCGCTAGTTCGAGCCTCTAATGTTCCACACTTCGGGGTTGGGTATGACTGGCTGACGACGGCTAATAAGCCAGAAATGGCCATTCCCGTCTCCCTTGTCTTTGTCGGTAATAAAATGCTGGCCCTATCATACGCCGCTGTGCGGCTGTTGGTTGGGCTCTAAAGAGAGCCCATAAGGCACAACGGAACGAGTGAGTTCCGTAAAGAACGATCGGTGAGCGCCCCTTAAACAGATGCAGTTATCCCTACTGTGAGCCTCAACGCAGTCGCTGTCGTTCGAGGTCGGTCTGTCTTGGGTGAATCCAGAGTGTGGATAGGAAAACCTTGGGAATATACTATGGGAGTAGTTTTTTTTTAAATGGAAGACACTGTTCATTGTGGGCGTCCACTGGCCACGAGGAGTGAAAATATTCAGTTTGACTTAAATCAGTCAGTCAGAATAGCAATTATTTCGCAGGTTCAGCATTCAAGACAACTAAATTTTTGTCGCAAAAACGTCGACCATTTGGTGACTTTTGATGATCCACATAGCATGCATAGGGTAATACTGAGTGTTACTGTTCGCAATGCGTCGGTCGTTGTCAATTGAGATATTCCGCCATATGCAAGAGTGTACGGATTCTCATAAACCCACTGTGATAGTCACTATGTCGATTGTCTTTTTCACGGACCCTCCCGGCAGCAAGAGTTCAAGCCTTGCTTTCGACCAACCCCGTCTTACGCGAGGAAGGTAAGGATAGGCTACCAGCTCAGACCACCTCCATGTGCATTTACTCCTTTACTTGCTCCTGTAGAGCAGGCTACATTGGTCGTACGAGTCGGCGTCTATCCGCAAGAATACGAGAACACCTGCCGGCATGGCTGAGCAAGGGTGAAGTTAAGAGCGTACATAGCTCCGTCCTAGCACACATGGTCGATTCTGGGCACCGTGTGGATCCCAACGAAGCCTTCCGTGTGATTTACAGGGTTCCACCTAACTGGGTCAGCGCTTACTAGTAACAACAGAGGTAACTGTCATCAGACTATAGAGGCCGGTCCTGTGCGCGCAGAAGAACCTCTTGCACGCTCCGCGTCTGCCGTGGTCATAAATGGATTAACTGTATGCATGTCGCCACGCCCCTGCCCCTTCCCCCTGCCTTATGACACGACTCAACCTAACCCTCACTGTCACTGATGGCCTCCTCTCCCCCCCCCCCGCTCTATTCACATACCCCGTTTATATGCAAGGACGAACCGTAATCGATTGCACTTATCACTCACACATTCACTTTGTACATCTTTCCCATATAAATGTACAGGCCCGATGTGAATTTATCGAAAGCACGCTTAAGCCCGCCAAATGCTGTTCTGAATTTTTTCTAGATAGTTAACCTGACAACTCTGACCAAGCCGTGCTCGTCAATAATACTCTTTTTAATAACAAAAAGGACGCGGGTCCGATCCTCGGGTGTTCCAGAATCCCGGGGCTGAGTAAGGCTGGCTGACCAGAAAGGGCCATCCTAGTCACCCTTGTATTTGTTAGTACCCTCCCTCTACATCCACTACTGGTCGTTGTACGACTGTCTCCGGGGCATTAGATAATATCCCAAAGCACCCGGGACGAGCAAATGAGGCATGCGTCAATTGGCAACTCGACTTAGATGCTGTATACGCACAAAATTTCAGTCAGAACTGAAATCCAGCAGAGCCAGTGCCGAAGAGTTGACAAAATACGATTGACGCGCATTGACGCAGACTTCGGCCAACCGCAGAGTCACTTGCTATAGACACGGCCAAATAGCTAACCGCTTTTGTACATGACCCATACGCAGTTTGAAGACGAAGTGCGGAACCAGTCTCAGAGGTTTACGCAATAAAGCTTATTTTAGTGACTTTTCTCGGGTCTGCAGAATTGTAGAAACTCATATCTACTCTTATTTTGTTCGCAAAGAATCTCAGCCATATTCACTTAAGTTGTTTTGAGATGCCCCTTTTCAAATACTCACGCATATATAGTGTTTAAAACCCCCCGAAGAAGACGAATAAGAAGAAAAGGCGGTTCCGTGAACCGGGTTTTATTCATGCTGACGTTTCGGAAACTCCCTCGTGAGTCGTTTGCTGGCTTTTCCTGCTAACCTTGATTTGTTCAGCCTTACCGCACGCCTCGTATTATGGTGGAGGGTTGAAACACAAGAAAACCGTATCCTTGAGAAAATGCCAGACGTCCATTTCCATAGTTAGGTGTTCTGTGCGGTAATTTGCGTGCTCATGTTTCAGCATCTTCTTGCAACCTCGTTCTTCACATATGCTCTACCAGTCCACACGTGCTTGGTGTTTGACCGTCTATGTCCTCTGTACATCTTCTTACTCCCATATATACCGAGGTTGTCCTGAATGCAGGCTCATTTTTCCAATTTTCGCAGAGTGCAGTTGCTGACGCTGCGTCGCTGAACATGCTCTACAAGAACCTCTACGTGATGCCAAAGGTCATGAACATTGTCCTGCTCGTTCTCTTCGGACTCTTTCTGGCCCTTTTTGTGGCGCTTCTCCTGGTCTTGATTGTTCAGGCCTTTTTATTCTGCTGCACACCCAGGAGACCCACCGGCAAGGCCGCCGCAGGAGTTTCTTGGGTTGCGGATGACGTCCGTTACCAACCAGTCAGTAAGGGTGCCTCACAAGGGGTAAGTACTCGCATAGCTCTCCCCTTCGTCCACCCTCTCCCCACTAAACGGACAAAAGATGGTTTAAAGACGCCATTTTCATTTAATATCCGTCCCCTAAAGGACCTATGTACACAGAGTCGACTTCGATTATACGCTTCCGCTTACTCAGTGCAACCACAATTTTCAATCGAAATACGGAAACTGGTTAGGTTGGCGCTTATCTACTGCACGTACGGCTATGACATAAAATCGGACCCAATTATCAATCGAAATTCGGCGACTGGGAACTCCTCTGTCATCCACACTGTACCACTCCAAGACAATATCTTTTTCTGAAAAAACTGGACTTATTGAGAGCATGCTAAGCCATTATCGCAAAGTCGATTCTGTCTGCCGTATACAGTGCGTGACCGATTTCATGAAATGTTGACCGAAATTCTAAAATGCGCTTTCGGTTAGAAGGATTACTTAGGTAGGGCTGTAATGTTAATCTTCACGCGGCATAGTCCCATGATATTTCGAACTTGCCAGGATGTCAGTTTTTGAATGCACCTCTTTTAGACCTCCTACAGAAAGCGCACTCGGTAACAAATTACTACTTATGTAGCATGCATTTTTCGCATTGATTTCTGATAGTCTGATAAATTCAAATATATTTTGTAGAAAACAGGCACAAAAATATGCTTCCTTTTACTCGTTTGGTAGAGAATTACGTCTCCTTCACATTTTATGTCCGAAGAAATAGTATATTTAGCTTTTCGAAAAGTTTCTAATTATGATATTGTTTAAAATCATGCAATGTCCATTCATACAGCATCGTACCTGTCCATTTGCCAATACTTCTCATAAATTTTACAAAGTAGTTCGCATTCATTGCAAAATTTCATGAACGTCATAGGGCATCTTTTTAAAGACGTAGTGGAGTATATGATTTCTTTTACGCGGAAAGCGTGCACCTTGTAGAATGAAATCGCTAAACGCTAATGCAACGGCTGATCAGGCTCAAAATTATTCGGGAATTAGGAAACTTTTTCAAAACCTAAATATACCATTTCTTCGGACATAAAATGTGAAGGAGACGTAATTCTCTACCAAACGAGCAAAAGAAAGCATATTTTTGTGACTGTTTTCTACAAAACATATTTGAATTTATAAGACTATCAGAAATCAATGCGAAAAATGCATGCTACATAAGTAGTAATTTCTTACCGAGTGCGCTTTCTGTAGGAGGTCTAAAGGAGGTGCATTCAAAAACTGACATCCTGGCAAGTTCGAAATATCATGGGATTATGTCGCGTGAAGATTAATATTACAACCCTACCTAACTAATCCTTCCTAACCGAAAGCGCATTTTAGAATTTCGGTCAACATTTCATGAAATCGGTCACGCACTGTAGTTATACTAGTGAATTTTACAGCGTACTTGGTTACTTACCTTGACTGGCTGAAGGCAATGAACAGTGCCTTCCAAGGGCTCCCAAAATTTGCGAAGTAGGTGACTCGACAGCGAGTCTGATCCACATCCTCTTCCTACTTGCTTCCGTAACTGGAAATTATTGCGTCAATGGCGGTACGAAATACTTCGCACCAGGGCTTATTTGGCATATGTCGCCGGGAACACTGTGACTTTCGCTTTAAACTGACTTCGAAATGACTTACAGGGATTGCCTTTGCCTTCTCTTTAGATGCCACTGAATGAAGGTGGAAGCGCCAAGGTCTGAGAAAGCACTGCAAATCTAGTCATGCTGCGCTGGACAGGAAATGTACATACCCCACGCCAGTCTTCCTACCTGCCTCTTTCGAATTCACATGGTGCCTTCGCGTTAACTGCCCCTGCTGCTTCAGACACGAGAATAGCCGGTGCAGAAAAATCGGGAAATCTAATTTTTTAAAAATATAGTCCATTCTTCTGTATTTTCTTTGCTGACCAGTGCTAGAATTTGAGACTGAAACCTGCATTACTAGATTGTCAACTTGGTATCTTCTAGTTTTCGGTGTCTTCCCTATTTTTAGAGAGATTCCCACTGGGATTGCAGCCTTGCCTGCAGTCCCTAGTTTGGCATGCTGTGCAAACCATGGTTTTTTGTAGCATTTGTCTTCCTGGCAGAGGTTCCCCTGGCCTCTTACAATGATTTTGCTCAAAACTATATTAATGCACAAAATAAGTCTTCATTTTGAATTTTTGTTAACTTCCGGAGGATCAGTTCAGTTCATTTTATAAGGGGAAAGGGTAGGCAAACCCCTTTGAACTCCCTATTGGTTGCATTAACGTCACAAAAACAATCTGTAAGGCAAGTGCGACAGAAGAGTAGGTAATGAATTACATACAACAAACATGCGGTACTTGTATGTATGTGTCAGTGTATGTATACTGTGTCAAAATTGGGAAATAATCATTACGCGGTCCAAGTTATATGGAAACGAATGCTCATGTTGCAGTCAGGATTCATCGGTCCTCATGCAGATGGGGATGTTTAAGGAAAAGGTATAAACCAGAGTTACTTAAATACAGAGAGTAGCATACGCTGTAACGTATAACATTCGGGTGGCACAGGGGAAAGTTGTTAGTTTAAAAGAAGACGAAGGTACGGTCACTGGGACGGTAGATTTATTGGCCTTAGCTTTTGAACTCGAGCAGGAGTTCATCATCAGAGACTGCTAGAGTGCAGCTACCTGCGAACATTTATATCGTTGTGTCGTGAGGGTGGGGGAGGGACTACGTCCGCGGCTAGGTCTGGTTTGTGCTGCCTGGCCCACAATGGTCCCCCGGCGCGGTGACGGCGTTTGTACTTCGCGACGGTGTGAGCTGCGCCACCTGGCTGCGTGGGCGGAGCGCGTGATAACACGCAGGCAAATCAATATGCCTATTGATACAGTTGGTGTCCGACACCCACGCCTCCAACAGCGCTCGCCCTGTCTTGTTGCTGGCTCGCGCCAATATCCGCGTGTTGGCGAAGTCGAACTCATGCCCTTCCTCCAGCGTGTGAGTGGCTACTTGAGACAGTGGGTTGCCTCTCCGAACGGCCCGTTTGTGCTCAAGTATTCGTGAGCTAAGACGTCGTCCTGTTTGGCCTGTGTAGTGGCAAGCACAGTTATGGCACGGGATTTGATAGACTTCGTCCGACTGCTCACCTGTGTCCAACCGATCCTTCATTTTCATGATTCTGTTACGCATGGTGGCCGCCGGATGATGAGCGATGCCCACGCCTAACTCTGACGCAATGCGTTCTGTGGCCTCGGACACATTCTTTATGTACGGTAAGGAGTGCCAAATTGTTGGTGTCTCTCTTCCGTTTGTCCGTCGTGGGTGCGTGCGTATGCAGCGGCTGATAAAACCATCTGGGTAGCCGTTCCTTGTTAATTGGTCCCTGAGATGTCGTAGTTCTTGCATCCTTCCTTTGGGTTCGCTACAGTGCGTTTTTACCCGGTCGAAAAGCACCCTCACACAGTCTCGTTTGTGCACCAACGGGTGGTTGTCATGATAGCTGAGGACCTGGGTTGTATTGGTCGTCTTTCTGTACACTGTAGTGTTGAGTTTACCATCTGGTGTGCGCGTGACGAGCACGTCAAGGAAGGGTAGTTTCTCGGCCTCCTCGTCTTCTCTTGTGAACTGAATGTCAGGGAGGATGCTGTTAACCATGTCTTGAAAACGCGATAGCCTGTCCTTTTCAATAATGACGAGTGCACTGTCCACGTATCGGCGCCAAAACGCGGGTTTTTAGTGGCTAAAAGCAACTTTCTCCAGCTCTTGTAGGACCAATTCTGCCACTAGGTTGGGTATTGGGGACCCCATGGGTGTTCCTTTGATTTGTTCGTATGTTCTGCCATCGAAGGTGAAAAAGGTTCGTTGGCAGAATGCAAAGAGCTGCATTAGGTGCTGGATCTTTAGCGGCCCTGTCGTTTCGTCGTACTTTTCTTCGAGGCGTTTGCGTAGCACGTCGCGCGCCAAGTCTGGTGGGATGGATGTGAAAAGTGAGGCAACGGGTCGAATAGTTTTTCCTCGAGTGTCGGCAAGGAATTGGGAAGCCGAATTGACTGACGCCACAGAGCCCTCTCAGAGAAAATGGTTTTCGTGGCATCCATTTGGCTAGATTGTATGTGCGGCTGCCTTTCAGCGCAGCGACTGGCCGCAAAGGAAGATTGGGTTTGTGGATATTTGGCAGCCCATAGAACCTGGCCAATGCCGTATCGGTTGGTTTTGTCTGGCGCCATTCGTCAAGCGAGATTACACTGTTGCGCCGGAGTCGGCTTAAGAGTCCATTCAGCTGGCCAATCATCGAGTTAGCCTGCGAGGCGGGTGCGGACTTGTAGGAATGTTGGTCGTCCAGGAGAGCTTGTGCCTTCTCGTTGTAATCAACGCGGTTCATCACAGCGGTTGCTCTTCCTTTGTCGGCAGGTAGCACTATAATAGCTTTGTCCACTTTTAATCTCTTCAGTGCTTCTATTTCTGCGGGCGACATATTGCTAGCGTGCCCGTTCGTCATCAGAAGAGACGTGACCTTTTGGCGCACCGCGTGTTTAGCCTATTAGGTTGCGTTAATTCGTCCAAGCATGGCCTGAAGTGCGGCAATGAAGTCGGTTGGGGTGGCATCAGCAGTGTTAACATTGGCTTCGTGGCTCAACACTCCGCGTTCCGATTCGCTTAACTGCTTCGACGATAAGTTGTGTACCTCATTTTCGTTGGTATTAATTTTGGGTTTCTGATGATGAATTCCTGTTCGAGTTCGAAAGCTACGGCCAATAACTCTACCGTCCCAGTGGTCGTACCTTCGTTTTATTTTAAACAAGAACCTGGGATGCGCATATTCTCTTCCGTTCGAAAGTTGTTAATATCTGACGACGTGGTGGTACATATCAGTAGGCAATCAAGTGGCAGAGGAAACGTTTCTTCTTCGTTGTTGCCTAATGGCCCATCCAGGTTTCGATATGTGCGGACCAGGCGCGTGTGGGACGCGTAGGCGGGTTGTTTTCCTCTGTCAGGTATTGCCTCCTGTCCCGTCCCCGATCTGCTTGACTCCGATCTCAAGAAGTTTAGGAAGGAGAGTGCGGTGGATACAGCTTGCGGAGTATGCTGCCCGGACTGCCTAGACATCCCGCCACATGCTCGCGACCAAGGTCATGTACCCCCGTTCAGACAACCTTGGTGCCGATTTGCCGCCCTTCAGCCGATGACATCTCCCCCCTGCTATATACCCATCCATTTCTACAATGCTCCCCACTTGTGTTGTCTCCCGTACCTGGTGCACGTCCTGTCTACAGCTAACCTTCTCTTTGGCATACATAGCATAACTGTAGTCTACTATCGCTATAAACTAATTCGCGCGCAAGTCATCGTCCCTGCGCCCACCTTACTATGGTGGACGTCATTGTTCGCGATGGACTAACTGTTAAGTCTCCACAATGAGCTGTAATTGAAAGCAGATGGTTGCTCTCTCTCTCTCTCTCTCTCTCTCTCTCTCTCTCTCTCTCTCTTTGAAAGTCCCCGTAATGGAGAAATACTTGCTGACAAGGAATGCAACTGGAGGGAAGATTTCTGGTTCGTTTGCCGCAGGCAACCGGTCATGCCGAAGTCCAGATTGGGAAGATCTGATATCAGAGGCGGGGGATCAGTAGTCCTTGCTTCTGCTGCCTATCTAGGCAGCGACCTCGGTCAACGGCGGTAGAACATGTTCAGTCAGCCTTACCCAACCCCAGGTTTAGGAGCACCTGAGGGTCGAACCAGTGTTTTTTCCGGGCATTAACAGTCCAGCGCTCTGATCATTCAGCCACAGGCTCGTTGCTCTGTCGGTTGCGATCAGGAATTTTGACTACGTTGGCAGTGCGTTCACGATTGGGTAAGGGGACCTGCTTGTCCCGCTGTGCTGTGGGAATGAATCTAGAAACCCGTAGACAGTCGAATAGCCTCAAGTAGCACAGACAGAATGAGATTGCCGATAAATACAAGGGAGCCTGCGGTGGTCATTTCTGGCTTCTTAGCCGTCGACAGTTATTCTTACCCACCCCTAGGTCTGGGGGCACATGAGGTCCGAAGAAAGTGAGACAAAATGCAGGAAAGCTGTGCCCATACGAGAATTCTAGGTGTCAGTAGCCCGTAGTTCAGCGGTGATAGAGCCTGTTCATCTACAGGAGACTGGTGATCCCTTGTCTGATTGGGTTGTAAGCTGGGATCCGGACGCCCTGTGTTCTCATAGAAATGCATACCAGCCAATCAGTGGTCGAGAAATGTTTTCTGGATCTAGCTTTTACCCAAGGGCCATGCGGAAAGCGACTCTTCCGCCCAATATTTAGACCAAGCTGGTGCACGTAATTTTTTACAAAAATAGTTTGAAAATTATAATTTGTTCAAACGTTGTCTAAAAATCGCTGAGTACGCATGTTTCTTCGCGTAAACTGCAGAAACCGTGTCCTGTCGGTATGAATGCACATCGCACAAAGTCTTACATATGGGAGGCTTTTGATTGAAATCGAGAAACCCACCTCTGAGTATGTACCTAAGCACAAATTTATCAACGCCGAGTCGCAGCTGTTTAAAAACAGAATACTCCAATGACTTCGGATAAAAATTTATTTGAGGAGGCAATTGTCGAGAAGGTGATTATAAACGACATTTTTGCCATTTGACTGAAAGTTAAGTACGCATAATTTAAATAGGAGAACAGGCGTCATTTATACTTATTAAAGCGCACATATGGATCTGTTGTGTAATTAGTAAACTTGTGCC